TTTATTCGCTGTTTGAACATAGGCTGGCACAGCTGTTGTGGGAATGGTTGTGTGTGTGGTGTGCATCTTTGTGTGTGTGTGTGTGTGTGTGTGTGTGTGTGTGTGTGATTAACACCCTGAGTTCGGGGATCTCCATTCAGGACGAATCGTCGTGGTTTGCTGATGAGGTCATCAGGAAAGATCTTGGTGTAACATGGATCTGGCTGTAGCTGAGACACAGAGAAACAGAATGGAGGTGAAAGGCCCTGTGTGCCTCCCAATGTGCCTCACCTTAGTTTGCATCTGAATTTACTTCAGAATTAAGTAGCTTTCAAAATCCATTGTCTTTTCAGAGGACTGGAGTGTTATTGAACTCGTTTGGTACAGTAGTTGCTTTATGCTTTATGATGAATATAAAGCAGTGACATTTGCGGTACTACTCCTGCAGTGTAAAACCTTTTTTTTTTTTTTTTACATTCACTGAATGTGTCACTGTGTGCTTGATATACCTTTGTGTGTATATGTCTGTGCCCTCCACTCCGTTCTTCAAAGATGGTCAGTCTCATCTCTGCATACAGCTTCAGTGAGGACCTGAGGTCAAAGGTTGTGTCTGACTCAAGGCCTGTGGAATTTAGTCTCAAGGAAATGAATACTGTGGAAAGAAAAATCAGCCGAAATTGTAACTGCTACAGGAAACGATGGAGATTGTTTAACTTCTTTGAGCAGGAAGGAACAAACACAAAAAGTTTGTTTCCATCAAAAATCTCCTCTTTTAAGTTATTTGAGCTCAAGGTACGACATGAGGAATACCTGAAGATTGCTCAGGTTCTTCTAATGGATCACCAAGACCTGCTTGTTTGAGCTTGCCCTTGACTAGCGTTTACTCAGCCATCACGTAAATCTACCGGAATTTTTTGACAATGACAAAGTGCAGATATGTTGATGTAGTTAAGACCAGTGTCACAGAAAGCTTCTCAGTGGCATTCCGCTTTGGTCAGTAGGTGCCATAATCTGCATGGTCGTCCTGTGAAAACCATCTTTCAGTTAGCATGTGAGACCTACAAGCTCCACTCATCTACTCTGTCTGTCTACCATCATACATATATCAACAGTAAACTGTGTTGGCTCGTGATCTGCTTTTTTAATCTTGTCTGTATATGACTTTTTGCATTGTCTGTTGTTGTTTTGTTGTTGATGTTTACTCTCTTGAGTATGTCTTGAGGTGAGCATGGAGGCCTCACTATGCCTGCAGCAAGGGTTGCTGTGTCAGTCCAGGCGTTGAGATGGGTAGCCTTGAACAACATGTATTCACCCAATGGTTATGATAATCGTCAGGATAGATCATCTTCTGTCATCCTTTTGAATCACCCCACACTTCCCATTACTGAGCTCATCTCCAGCAGTGAGATCATGCAGTGGAGGAGAAATGGGAGATTACAAAAAAAGGTCACATACTCTGTACCTTAAATACTATATTTCATATGCAGTGTACACCTCACACACACTGTACTGTACACACTGAACGCCTCACACATTCATTGTCTTACTCACTGTATTTCTCAAACACTCCATATACTTGATGGATACGACAATTACTCCATACTTATTCCACAATGCATGTGTGTTGCTACTGTACTCATCCCACACTCCATATGTTTATATGCACATGACTTCTAGTAAGGTCCCCCATTTTTAATAGACTTTTTATGATGGTCATTAAGAAGATATTGTTTATCATTGTTTATCCCTTTCAGAATTATTTTTAGTCAAAATTGTTTTGGTGATGTTGCATTACTTAGCATTTTTTTGTGGAACACAGCTTGTTTTAATCTAATTTATTAAAACGGTATCTGCAAACCCGCTGTGCATTCTTTCAATTTGTGTATGCTACATTTAATGAACTCTATTATTAATGACAGAATTTCCACAAAACACATTTCTGGAAATTTTTTTATTATTTTCAGAAACTCTTTTTTTTCCCAAAGCATTTTTTTTATTATTCAGACAGTTTTGCTTATACTATCCAGTGGCCAAAATATTTTAATGAACAATCACACACACGTCCCTCTCGATCCTGTAAGTGATGACTAGTAATGATATTCCTCTTTGTTTATATTATAGTATTTTTAGTATAATATAATTTAGTATAATTTAATAATTTCAGTATTGAAAAAGAAAAATATATTTTGTGTAGTTTATTATTTGTCAGCCACACACAGGTGTAAAACGTATTTGATAGGACATGTAAAAGAGATTATTGTTTTTACTTCAAAGTATTAAAATGTTGAGCTGTGATCTATTTGAAATTTATGTAATGAAAATGTAAGCTATGTACATACTATAATTTTAAGTATATTTATAAACATTTTGTTTTAACATGTTTTTTTATATGTGAATTATAAAGTAATAAATAATGCAGTTAAGCCTATATATATGTGTGTGTGTGAGAAAGAGAAATCACTGATAGCTGTGTGTGTGTGTGTGTGTGTGTGTGTGTGTGTGTGTGTGTGTGTATATATATATATATATATATATATATATATATATATATATATATATATATATATATATATATATATAGGAAAAACACATTTTTATTCTAGCTCAAAGAGCAAAGATATGCAGATGTACATTACGTAATCTATAGAAGATATTAACTGGAACTTGTATGTGAAAATATTATGTTGACATTTACTTGGATTTTAATACATATTAAAAATATAAAAGGATCATTTATTATGGTGCCATTTAACTACTATAGTGCACTTTATTTTATTAAATGTATATATGTGTGTACACACACATACGTATAACATTTTCAGGTTACTTGGAAATGGAAAATTTAGGCTGGTTATTCTGTTGTTGCAAGATATTTCTCACAAATTGCAAATATTTCAGTTACAGTAATTGCAGTTCATTGCAAATACATTTAGCTTAGTTTGATTAATGAACACAGAATATCTGTAAGGAATTTGTATTACATTTTTTGCCTTTCCTTTAGTACTAAATATAAGTGATGTGTATTTTGCATTAGTTACACAGTGTTCTGTATCACAGTATTTCTATTTAAGTTGACAGTGACTTTCAGCTCTAGTCATTTTATTCTACAGGAATAATACTTCTTAAGGTCTCTTGAAAATGATGCCAAAGTTTATTTGGAAATTTTCAAGTACTCACTCTTATTGTCCCTCATTGTACAAAGCGCATGAGCTCCATGGTGAACAGAGTATGTTCTCATCAAGCTTTTTCCAAGACTTATAACAACACGTACGTCTACATTCTGCCATCTGTAAAAGCTGAATTGTGAACTGAGAAAGACAAAAGAACATGATGTATATCAGTTAGTCCAGCATATATTACTTTTTTCCAAAGAGATCCTAAGTTCCAGAGAATGTTCCGGAAACAACGTGAAAATCCCTGCTTTATGGAGGAGGCAGACATGAAGGTAGTCCTCAGGTCTGAGAAGCATGTTTCTGATGGCTGGTTTTAGTTTTTCCCAGTATAATGGCTGACTCGTCCGGGCGTTGACTCACTATTGCTCACATCCAGCCCGCCACTTCTACAGCATAAGGACGAAAACTCTTGGTTTCAGTCTTTGTTCTTTTGTATGGGTATTTCTACCCTACCTGTACACTAATCTCTCTCAGAAAGCCTGTGAATGTATCAGAACGTCAGAGGATAAGGTTGTGGACTACGAATGTTAATGTCTTAGATGTCTTTAGAGGGGTTACAAATGTATGAAAATCATCTAGGAATCAGTAAATTCTATTTTATTCTGTTTATCTATGTATTTATCTATATATCCATCTATGTATATACAAGTGTGTGTGTGTGTGTGTGTGTGTGTGTGTGTGTTTCTTTTTTTTTATATTTTTTTTTTATTATTTTTCAGCCATTTGCTGTCTGGTTTAACCTTGCTGATCTTTTCCTGTTTACCTATATTAAAGGTGTTTGAGACAGTACATTTGGTTAATGATTAAAAGAAATAGCATGATTTCATCCATTGTCCGCACACATGCTTGTACTTTCATTCGGTGAATGGGAAGATGTGCAGTGGCTCTTTTGAGTCTTTATTTAAATGTAGAAATGAAAGTTCAAAGCAAATGTTATCTGCTCAACCACACGACACATGACTTGAAGTGGTCAAACAAAGGCTTAAATGTATCACGCTAGCCTTGTGTAAATACCGACATTCATCTCACATTATTGTAAAGTTTTTGCTGAGCACTAAAGAGAATATTACTAGTTTTTAGTTTATATTTGTTACATTTGACTGATTGCTAACTTTTGCCTTGCTCGGGAGGGGCCAAGCCCCCACCCCACCCCACCCCCCTTCCTTGTGTGTATGTGTGTGTGTGACAGTGGGGGGTGTGTGGAGGAAAGAGAGGGGGTAGTTGGTGGCTAAATCTCGTAAAAGGGTTTTCCTAATATGGGCTGTCTTTCTGAGGGCTCCTCCTCTCCCCTGTAAGTGGGTGGGACATTGCCCTCTCTTTCAGCCAGTGATGACACAGCTACTACTCACTTCCCCATTAATTGGCTGAAACCAGTTCTTACAGGAACCGCTGGTGATAAATGTGAGAGTTCTCAGAAATCATTCATTTCTTCCTCCTCCTGAGCTGAGGGACACTGCAAGGCAGCGTGGATGCTTCTTTCTGTTGGCGTGCCTTAAGGACACCTTCTGTTTTTTTTTTACATATACATTTTTTTTGTATCTTATGTTTTTTTTCTTGTCTTTTTTGAACAGATTTGCTTAGGATTTATGGCAGTGAGTACATACAGTGCTCTCGCTCTTTTTTTCTCCGGAGAGAGTTTCTGTCTGTCCGGAAGAAAGGCTTAACAGTGCTCACCCTCCCCTTCTATCTTTCTCTCTCACTTGCTCCCTCTCTCTTTTTTTCTGTCTCTGTCTGTCGGAGGGACGATCAGGGGCAGTAACGCAGTACTGTGAAGGAGACTGTTACTGCCCTTTAGAATCGGTGACTAAAATTTATGTGACCTGCCCCAACCTTCCTTCTCTTCTGCAGTGCTGTTCCCCTGTTTGGCGCCTCTCTCCAGAAACCTTTCAGAGAGTATCTTGAGACTCAGAGGGCAAAGCTGCATCGTGCTGGAGAGGCTGCACCAGCTGTAAGTATCCCAGCCTGAATCTGTCCAGCCCTTTTTTTCTTTTTGAGTGTTCTTCTTTTTCTTTTTTTCTCTGTCTCTGTGTCAGTCTTGTTCTTCTGTCACCGACTGTAGCGTTATGTAGTGTGGTAACTTGGCGAAAGGCAATGGTTTTGTGGGTAGTAAGCAGGTCGGCGTAGCGCGGCAGCGGCTGGGTCAGCGCAAGTGTCGGTGGGCGTGAAGCTGGGGGCTGACCGTGTGCTGAGCGACGGCTGAAACGCTGTCGGCTGTTCAGGCTCTGGCTCATGAGGGATGCTGAGTCATGCTCAGCAGTTGGAGCTCCTCTGAGTGAACCGGACACTCCCCCGCGTCACACTACCACCCTCCCTCCTTCCCTCCCCCCAGCCATCCGCAGCCGAACCCTGTTGAACCCAGCACAGGCTGCCCGAGACGGGAGGGGCCCCGGGGGGAAAGAGGGAGGGGGAACTGTACTCCCAATTCCTGCCACTGACAATCTCTCACAACTGTGTGTGGAAACAAAGAGACTACACCTTTCGTCCTCGCTTTTGAACGCCTGCTTGCTTCTTAAATATTGGCAAATCTGTTCTTTCTTTATTCCTACTATTTTTTCTTTTATTTTGGTCAAACCAAGTGCATTTTTCCAGCTTGTGTTGCGGTTGGTGGGGGGGTAGCGGGGGAATTGCAGTTGCACAATAGGAGATTACGGCAGTTTCTGGAACAAAGTTCCTTTTTTTCTTGTAACTTGAACCTCCTGCAGCGACTGGGGAAAAGCACTTAGGTTGTTTAACTGGCAGTAAGAGATGATGCCAGTGTGTATCAGCAGGCTAAACCTAGCTTTGAGAAAGTAAGAGAGTGAACACTAGGACAAAAATAGGAATAATGAAACTGTTGAACTTTAATTGCACTATTCAGGGTTTTAAATTGGTACATAGTTCCTTGAGGATTACACTGAAATATCACTTTAGTGACCTACTCTTCAATTTTTTATGTTTTCTCTCATTGTGCAGGATGAAAACTGGCTCTCCTGGCTGTTCGAGAAGGTGGTGATCATCATGGTTTGCTTTTTCGTCTGCTCCATCATCAACTCCATGGCTCAAAGCTATGTCAAGCGCATCCAGCAGAAAAAATACTCAGAGGGCAAAATCAAATGAGGGAACTTTTTGTGTGTGTGTGTAAGCACACAGGTGTGTATGTTTGTGTTTGGGGGCATAGAGAGAAATAGGGCGGATAAGAGATTTTACTCAGAGATTTAGCATGGACCTTTCAGCACACTTTTTGACAAATAAGCTTACTTTAATGAGATTAGAATGCATCTTGATATATTAACATCAGCATAGCGCATCTGCTTAGAGCCATTCTTAATTTAACCTAGTTATCTTTAGTAAGCATATCCATCTATAATTTGTTGCCCTTTTATGCTTTTTTGCACCGGTTGGCTACTTGTTTGTGCTTCTGTTTAAGGCCTTTTGCTGTGCTTCTTAAAGAGGTAGATTTTCGGAGATATTTTGTAGTTTTAGAGACACTGTAGTATAGTCTTTCTTTGGCAGGAAGTGATCATCAGTACCTTTTTAAAAGCAGCTGTGTGAACCCTCACATCTTTAAGCAAGGCCTTAATCTACTTCGTGCTTCATATTACAACGTATCGCAGACTCTTTAACATTATTAGATATATAAGAGCTACAGAAATGATTGTAGATTTTAAGTTTGACTGAATGCTTTTCACTTTCACTGAAGGCCTTCCAGGGATGGAACCTTTTTGAAGAAAAAAAAATCAGTTCTGCATATTTATTGAGTACTATTTATGTATTGTCTCACAGGACATTAGAATATAAGAAGTAATATAATGGATAGATGAATGTGTAGATCTGACTGCGCATTTTATTAAGAATGTCAAGTAAGGTATTTGGTGCTTATTTCACTTTATTTGACTTCTTGGATAGTCCTTTTTAAATAAGTTTAGACTTAAGTAAATTTTTGAAGTAAGTAAAATAAGTAAGTAAAAAACTACTCAGACTGTATAAAAGCTCGGTGAATCATAATGTTGCCTTTGTCTGGAGTCATTGTTTTGTTTCCAGAGGGAGACAGAAGGAGAGCAAATGAGTCAGACTAGGGCTGTGCAACCAGATGCAATAATACACAGAATCAGATTAAGACATGTGTGTCTGTGCGCGCGTTTGTGCACATATGTGCGTGGGTGGTTGCCTACTTACTGTTCTTGTGTAGTTGTACTTCTCGTGTATTCTTTACATCCTTACTGAGGTTTTCTCTGAAGTACTTCCTGACTAGAGCAGTGCTCACTTAGGCAGAACAGTGGGGTCTGGCTGATGGGGTGTTAGTGCTTGTGCTGATGGGACTGGGTGCTGGTATGTCAGTAATACAGAGGACAGTATTAAAGGCAACAGTCCTCCTGTGCTCCACACTGTCTGTTGGCCCCACTCCTTTAGGTAATGTCAGTGTGATTCATTCAGAAGTTTCTAACCCAGGCTCAACCCATTTTAAAGATTTGTGTGCTCGCTCATGCCTGGTCCCGCTCCCCACAACATGGGACACCAGTTAAAATAGCCTTATGTCATTGTTTATTTTTTGCTTTCTCCATGGTGAGATTGTGTTGTATGAAAGGCTTAATCCATGGGCTTCTTGTCTGCCATTTTTTTCTTTTTCTTTTTCTTTTAATTGCTTGTGAAATGTTTTTTTCCTTCCTCTGTGTCTTTTTGTAACGCTGCCTTGGTATGCTAGCCTGGAAGCTTCAGGCGTATAAAAAATGGAACAGTGTGGAGTTTCTTTGCCGTTACCTTAACTGAACCCAGGGCTGAACTCGATGCACTGTGCTGCTGGCAGAGAGGATGAGGGAGAGAGAGAGAGAGGGAGCAGGAGAAGACAAGCAGGAGGCTAGACTGAGCTCAGCTAGCACACACGCTCGTCGCTGAGTGGGAAACGCATTTTAGACCGTCGTGAGGGGACTTATATCATTATATTAGAAAATAATCGATGGTCTCCCACCCTACCTCACCACCACCTCCACCACCACCACCACCACCACCTCCTTCCTCTCTTCTTTGTCCATGGTAAGTGTTCTTTTCTTCCCTTCATTTTGTTCTTTTCGCGTGTGGGTCAGGCATTTCCATCCGTCTCTCCCAGTGTGTCAGATAGCTTATCAGACTGGTGTTGGCTGTTACATTGCATGGCGACAACAGTCTGTAGGCTGTCTGACATTTTGGGCTCTTTCATCCAAAAAATGCATCTTATTTGTAGTCTCCCCTTGTTGGTGTTGGTGTTATTTTTTATTTTTCCTTACACTGCCATTTTCTTTTAATTTTACTGCTCTGCTATGGCAGACGAGAGGTCTATATCAACTGAACAGTATCTGGATTATTTATTTTTGCAACAGGTAAAATCTTTGCGTAAATGAAATAATTGCCATCTTTCATTTTCTGCATCTCTGCTCAGACCTGTACTGTTAGAATGGTGTGTGTGCATGCGTCTTTGTGTGCATACCGCTGTTTGCGTGTGTGTGCGCCTGTGTGTTTCCGGGGCTTACCTCCGTCCACTTAAATTTCTTGTGAATCCAGAAAGAACACACCTTATTGCAACACACACTGTTATGACACAGTTTTGGTGTTCGGAACGCTTCCCCCTCCTTTTTGGAACCTTGCCTCTGTTGCTCAACACTTTTTTCTTTTTTTTTTGTCTCTGGGTCTCATGACTACGTTCATTTGTTCATCGATTGTTTTTGCCCAGAGTTTTTATTTGGGTTGAGTTAAAGTCATGGCTTGACCAATTAATGCTCATTCTGTGGTCATTAAAATCCAGGGCGAAGCTGACTTACCTTTTGAGGGATGACATGTTTTTTTCCATCGACTTGTGATGAAGAGGCTTTTTTTGTGTTGTAAAAACTTTGGAGTGGTCTGGTTGGCTTGCAGACTCAGGGAGTATGTTTTCCTTAATAGTGTTCTGAACATCCTGTTCTTAAGGGGAGCCCCCTCTTGGCAAATGTTGCTTTTCTGTATGACTGTATGTATGTGTGTGTGCTTATATAAGTGTATGTGTATTAAAACAAATAAATAAAGTTGTTTTGAATTCCCAGTTTGTCTCCTGTTTTGCTGTCCGATGGATCACACAGCACCCATTAACAAGTGACTGGAAGATCTGTATTTATGTTTCCATATATCAGTGTCTGAAACATACACATGCTTTTCAGAGCTCAAATATGAATTAACAATATTCTTTAAACCCTGATTTATCCTTATTTCATCTTCTGGTGCTAGTTTAACAGACAGCTTTATGGCCGGCTTCAGTGATTCGGTCATTAACAGCTCATGTCTCACATACCCGGTGAAACCTTAATAGCGGGTGCAGATCATATTCTAAAGCAGCTGAAGTGCTTCTGCCCTGGAATTGAAGACACATGCAACTACTGAGAATACTTGCAAATTTCTGTTGTGATTTTTGATACTTTAACTCGTCTATAACAACATTTAATTTTATGATAAAATACAATAATGGGTAAAATGCTTTAAAACTATTTTGGCATGAAAGTGGATATTGTACAGTTCACTGAAATTGGTCACTTAAAGAAAGAGGAATTCAGTCTGATGCAAGTTTGTTAAAGACATGACGAGAGGTTTCCTGCTGAAACTTGTTAACTAGATACCTCGTGGTTGAAACTGTTATTTAGGCAAAGACTGGTTATTTTGAGGAATTCAGAAGTTAGAGACATTTCTTAGGAGTTCTAGAGCAGTTCTAGGGCAGTAAATACTTCAAAAATAAACTCCCACAACATAAAATGTACTAAGTTTTGAGGAAAAAAAAAGTTTCCAGCAAGTGTACACAACCCTTTGACTGGTAGTGTGAAAATGACCTCGAGCCAGTCTTACTCTCTCACTAGAGCTGCACAAGCTGTGCTTCAGCTGCTTACAATGAAACTATTATGCAAATCGCTCTTGTTCAAACAGGTTTTAGTATTCAAATAAGAATCTGGCATGTTCCGTTTCCTTTTTTTTTAAAGCCTGGGTCAGGTGCCCCTGCTTTACGTGTGACATGAGCAGCACTTTATTCATGGTTGGCTGGTATTGTAAAATATGCCGTCTTGTCTCACACACACAAAACACAGCATCTATTGCCGGTAGCTCCAGAAGGGGGTGCATTTGTTTAATGTAAAGCAATCCATATTGCTTGTAGTATTTTGCATCTATGCGATTTAGTAAAACTGTTTTTCAGTCATATTGTGATTTAATTTGTAGCCCATAGGACATCCTTTAATTAGGAATATGTAAAATTTTTTTATATGATTTTAGACATAAGGACATGTAATTGGTATGTATTTAGATGGATGGAGATTTGGTCTGTTTAGCTTTCAGAACTGTAGTTTTAACAGGCTCACATCGGCCTTCGAATCCAAATGCACCAGTTTAGAGTCTCTATGTACACAGCTGTCTAATTACTTAATAAAATTAAACTGAGGATTCTACGTATAAGGTGAGGATTGTGTGTTAAGCTGATCGTGCACGCCCTATGCAGTTTTATCCAGTCATCTGCCTGTTTCCCTGTTTACTGAGCTTTTGTGTGTGCAAGTGTATTTGATTTCAGACCGGAAAACCCCATAACATTAGCACCATATGGTCTAGAGTGATCACTGTGCTATGCATTCTCTTTTGTTCTTCTAGACGCACACACACTGAAAAACCACTTCTGATGGATCACTTCCCTTATTTCTGTCTCCACACACACACATATCTAACAAAGCCATGTGATAGTCCTGTCAACCAAACCCTGTGTAATGTAGCACACACGTACATAAGCTAGAACCCTACCCTACACCCCAGCTTTTATAACACTATTGAGTGCTACTGGCTATTTCTGATTATCAAAAGATAACCATTTTTGGAGTTCCTTCCTCCATATACAGCCAAACAAAAATCAGTTTTTTTCATAAGGAGGCACTTCTACTTTTTAGGGGTGAAAGTTGCTCTGAGAAATGTTTATAATTCAGGAAAAGGATCTAAGCCAGTACCCAATAAACAGAACTGATGTACAAGCTATAAGAACTCTCAAGGTATTTTAGTGTCCTCTCACAGGTAAGGGCATATCTATCATTAAAGGCTGGAGATTGTCTAGGTGAGTCAGGGGCTTCACCTGTCACTAGGAGGGGATGGACCAGTCATGTGAGTGACAGGGCTGACACTCCCAGGTTTACTCACCACCAGGTGCAACCGCTAGCTGTCTGACAGTCATGCAAATGCTGAGTTTGAGAACATATGCACTGTGGCTCCATCAGCAGCATGGACGAAAACAGCACCATAATCCTTCAGATCAATTTTGTTCAGCTATTATGTAGTAATCTTTGCCTACAGGACCTTCAACATCTAAAGTGAAGCCTTAATAACTGCTCTGGCTTCCTTTTACATACTTCCACTAAGGGGCTATTTCCCCTTTGAAATTTCTTCTCAAAACAGAAAGCAAGTTTTAGGAACAAATGCCTCAATGAAAAAATTCTCAGTTCTTTCATTCATTTAGGAAACGCATTAGCAATAAAGTTAAATGCATTATGGTGTCAGTTACGTGATTCTCATTATTAATGATGTGTCACTGGTGTTTAAAATACGGTGGAAAGTCCCTGTAAGTGTAATTTGCATGGTAATGTATTTCCTGCTTTCAAAGTGTATAAGACACACAGAGTCTCCATTGTGTTTGAATGGTTTTAAGTGGGAAAAAGAGTATGATGTTTAGTGGTCTTCCTTAATCCCTTTTAAACACAATTCATCAATAGCTTGCACAAGTTTTCTAGTCTGACTGCTGGCACAAAGGCCTTTACACATTGTAGACAATGACCCTCAGTATCATCCTGTACAAGACATACTTCAAACATTGTATTATCCTCTGTGTTAATCTGGCAGGGAAACAGATTCAAAATTGTTGCGTTGTCATATAATTAACAAAAAATAAGAAAAGACAATCTGATTAGTCTAATGACACATGCACTAAATTACAAATTTACAGGAACAGTTTGGGAAAAAAAAAAATTGCACTGTCCCCTTACCTCAAATACAAGTCATTAGCCAATGTTTGCTTGGTGTTGAAAGCTTCTTTAGTTTTGCAGTGGAGCATAGCTCCATGGAGTTCAAATGGGAGCTAACAAGTAATGGAAGCTCATACACCACCAGGCCTTAATCAGCACACACTTGCTTCACATTGCACTTTCCTGAAGGCTTAACATTGAATAAATGTTTTTCACCATTTACCAAGAAAAGTATGCTGTCAAGATAGAATAAACATGAAGTTGTTAGCGGCTCTGAAAAATTATGTATATTTAGAAATGTGGAGCCCTTCAAATCAGAGGACTACTAGAGAAATTTGAAAGCTGTATAATTGGCATGTCCAACAAAGCAGCGACTCTATCTTTATTTAGCACAGTATGGATGCCAGTGTCAAGTTTTTTACCCTTTCAGCTGGAGAAAAGAAGCCAAATTGAGGTAAGATATCTAGGTAACTTTGACGTTTAGCTTGCTGTCCTCCTTATCTGATGAATTATTTCTGTCATTTAAGTTATCCATTGATATGATCCATTGTAATGGTGAATTGAAGACATTTACCACAGTTATATGTCTACAATAAGATATTTGTTTGCCTAGCAGTTAGGTATCTGACTTCTGTTTGCATTCACTAGTTAAAAAAAAAAAAATCAAACAGCCCACGCCCCAAAAAAATCCATCCCACAGCAGACGTAGTTTTTGAAAAAGGTCCTTCCGTCTTCTTAGATAAGTCACCAGAAGGGGGTTTTCCTAGATGTTGAACAAGAAAATCTCACTCTACAAACTACAACAGCAGGATCGTTTAAGAAAAAAAAAGCAGAGCAGTGCTTCTTGTGTTTTTAGTCCTCATAGAAGCATGATATCCCCCCTTAGCTTATTACTACAGTACTAACAAATTCATGTCAGTTATGAACAACCCCATTTTCAAAAAAGTTGGGATGCTATGAAAAATGTAAATAAAAACAAAATGCAATGATATGCAAATCATTTAAACCCTATATTTCATTGAAAATGCTTCAAAGACAACATATCAAATGTGAAAACTGAGAAATTTTATTTTTCTTTGAAAAATTTGAGTACATGATTTCAGGTACCTGGGCACATACATTGCTGAAGATCTCTCCTGGGCCACCAACGCCACGGCATTAATGAAAAAGGCACAGCAATGACTCTACTTTCTAAGAATCCTCAGGAAAAACAACCTGCAAGATAAGCTTCTGGTGTCCACCACTGCTTACATATGTCATCTCCACGTGATACACCAGCAGCTCAGCAGCAGACAGAAGAGCCTTTCAGAAAGTCATCAGCACAGCCCAGAAGATCATTGGCTGCTCGCTGCCCTCCTTGGAAGAGGGCTTAAGGTCCCGCTGCTTCAGCAGGGCAGCTAACATCCTGAAAGACCCATCTCATCCTGGTCACCATCAGGCAGACGCTACAGGTCCATCACATCACAGACAAACAGACTTAAGAACAGCTTCCACCCCAGTGCAATAAGAGAACTGAACACTGCACAACGTTGACATTGCACACTGCCATCCAGGCACCAACAACGCAGAAATAGAGTGTCTACACGCACCTTTCCAAAACATACTCAAGAGATATTAAAAGATGTTTACATCATCTGCACTTTATATTTATTATTAAACTGCACTCTGTAAATAGAAATACTCCCTTTCACATATGTGCAATACCATCATGTGCAATACCATAGCTGTCACATTCTTTTATATCCACCCGTTTTATTTTACTTATTTTACTTTACTTTTACAATTCAGACTTCAAATTATTTTAGTTTAACTTTCTTTTAATATCCATCCATCCATCCATCGTCTAAACCGCTTATCCTTCTGGGTCGCGGTGTTCTTTTAATATCTTGCATTTTATATTTTACATTAGACTATATTTTTGCTTTATTCCTAGTTTAATCTTTTTTTGTTTATGCACCGTTAGGATTGCTACCCAATTTCGTTGTACCCTGTGCAATGACACTAAGGAATCTTGAATCTTCAAATAAATGCCTATTTTGAATTTGATGCCAACAACACATTCCAAAAA